TATTTGTGTATAAATTCACGACGTCGAATGACACGAGTTTCGTATTAGGTTGAATATGTTCTGGTAGGTGGTTGATAAAATCTATATCATCTCTTATAAAACTAGGAACCTTTTCACAATAAGGCTTTAATAAAATGTCTAACAAGTGACTCAGTCTTTGAGTTGAACAATTAGGCCCCCCTACGATTGGCCGAAAAGAGAGATCTTCGGGATTTAGACAGCAAATATATTCTCCTCTCTGAGCCTGTATGGCGTTTTTGATTTCTGATGACTTGTGTACTTTTGGTAATCCGTAAAATTGACTCTCTTTTGTTTCAAAGTTTGTGAGATAGTCTTTCTCCTTAGCAGTTATATTTCCCGAGGATGGCCCACTGACAAGTTGTTTTATCTTTGCTAAAGTTTTTGTCTCGTGATTTGCATTAATACTCCCATAGTAGTTAGGGTCCTGTAGCATATTCAAAATCTTACGTTCGTAATATGTTTTATTCATGATGACTACTCCGCCTCCTTTGTCGGCTTCTTTGATAACGATATTTTCGTCATTATGTAAGTCATTTAAAGCTTTTTGCTCTTCTTTTGTGAGATTAGATCTAATATTCTTCTTAATATTAGGTAGGTTTATATTATCTAGGGTTTCACATACCGTATCTAGAGTTCGATTTCTTCCTCGTTTTGGAATAAAGTGGGATTTATTTCTAACCAGGTCCTCTGGTTCCTCATTTTCACTATCTTCTGTTGATTCGTCGTTATCTTCGTAAAAGTATTCCCTTAGTCTGTATATATATATATATATATATATATATATATATATATATATATATATATATATATATATATATATATATATATATATATATATATATATATAGACAATTTAAAGTACAGAGATGTATATCTAATTAAATGTTGATGTGTCAGTAGCATGATTGTGAACCCCAACTCAGCATGCTACTTGCCGTTTAGGGAACTTGCCGTTTCGGACAACACATAAAATGTTGTTGTAGAGGGTGAGCCCTATTGTCTGACTGCCCCAAAGTTCAAGTTGTTTGTTGAAATACATTCATCTGACCACTGTGGCCAAAATCTGTCATACAATAAAAAGATAAACTTTAAATGTGTTTTTGATTCTGAAAAAAAAAAATCATAAGCAATGTTGCAAATACAAGCATAGGGCTTGTGTAAGCCAATGTATATTATAGGTGTCTGGGTAGGATATCCCATAAGGCATACTGTCTTTGATAAATATATATATGTTCTTTCTTTTAATTATGTTACAGCTTTATTTTAAAGTGAATAATTATTTCATTTAATGTTTTTTCTTTTTAAAATGAATTTTTAAGCCCTCAGTATGCGTGAAAAATATGTACGGAAATATTTACATGTTCTACAGATCCATATACATAATGCCAAAGAGATCGGTGGGACGATGTTTTTTTCCTTTCAGTATTTCATTTTTCGTCCATCACTGCTGCAGTGTTAATCTATTTTTAAATTGAAACCGAGACATAGCATACAAGACTATGAAAAACACAATGACATAATAAAAACATTTAAACTTCCTAATGTATAGAAACTCGTTGATACTTAAATTAATATGAACAATAAATAAATTACATTTGTTAATAATGGAAATATAATTATATACGTGCATAAAGTACTTTAAAAGTCATAAAAAATAGACTAATTTTTAGCAGCCAATCAAGGACAAAAGCAAATATGCTCAGCCCACTTCATTTGCATACCGTTCCCCAAAGTGTACCGTTCACAAAATGAACCGTATCGTGCACAAAGCAACCCATTCCGTTCACAAAGCATACCGTACCCTTCACAATATGAACCATTCCATTCACAAAGCATACCATACAGTTCACAAAGCGTACTATTCTGTGCAAGAAGCGAACCATACCGTACACAAAACGAACCATACCGTTCACAAAGCATATTGAACCGTACCGTTCAAGTGGTGTAGTAGCACGGTTTAGGGTCTGTAATATAGTGAAAATGCATACATTCTTTGAAAAATCTTATTCTCTGCTCCTGGGTATTTAATAAACAAACCAAGTACATAGTTTAGATGAGAAAAAAATGTCTCTTCCAAAATTGTGAATTTCATTGTCCCAGGTTCGGGGGTTTTGGTGTTAGAGGGGGGACTACATTGATTCTGTAGTGAAAATACATAAATTCTTTGAAAATCTTCTCTGTTCCAGGGTATTAAACAAACTTACTAAGTACAAAGTTATAAGGAGCAAGAATGCCTTTTCTAAAATTGTTAATTTAATGGCCCCTGGGTCAGGAGTTCTGTATGTGTGTGTGTTGTGGGGGGGGGGGGGCTCTATTAATTATATAATGAAAATACATTTTAGCTCACCTGAGCTGAAAGCTCCAGTGAAGCTTTTCTGATCACCCGTTGTCCGTCGTCCGTCCGTCCGTCTGTCTAGCTGTCTGTCTGTCCATCCGTCTGTAAACTTTTCACATTTTCAACTTCTTCTCAAGAACCACTGGTCCAGTTTTAACCAAACTTGGCACAAAGTATCCTTGGGTGAAGGGAAATTTTGATTGTTAAATGCAAGGGCTTAGTCCCTTTCCAAGGGGAGATAATCAAGAAAATACAAAAATAGGGTAGGGTCATTAAAAAATCTTCTTCTCAAGAACCACCGGGCCAGAAAAGCTGAAACTTACTAGTATGTGGAAGCATCCTGGGGTAGTGTAGATTCTAAATTGTTCAAATCATGACCCCAGGGGTAGGGCGGGACCACAATAGGAAATCAAAGTTTTACATAGAAATATATAAATAGGAAAAAACTTTTAAAAAATCTTCTTCTCAAGAACCACTGGGCCAGAAAAGCTGAAACTTATGTGGAAGCATCCTGGGGAAGTATAAATTCTAAATTGTACAAATCATGACTCCCGGGGGTAGGGCGGGACCACAATAGGGAATCCAAGTTTTACGTAGAAATACTTTAAAAATCTTCTTCTGAAGAACCACTGGGCCAGAAAAGCTGAAACTTATGTGGAAGCATCCTGGAGTAGTGTAGATTCTAAATTATAGAAATCATGACCCCCAGGGGTAGGACAGAACCACAATAGGGAATCCAAGTTTTACATAGAAAGATACAGGGAAAAACTTTAAAAAATCTTCTTCTCAAGAACCACTGGGCCAGAAAAGCTGAAACTTATGTGGAAGCATCCTGGAGTAGTGTAGATTCTAAATTATAGAAATCATGACCCCCAGGGGTAGGACAGAACCACAATAGGGAATCCAAGTTTTACATAGAAAGATACAGGGAAAAACTTTAAAAAATCTTCTTCTCAAGAACCACTGGGCCAGAAAAGCTGAAACTTATGTGGAAGCATCCTGGAATAATGTTAATTCTAAATTATCCAAATCATCACACCTGGAAGAAGGGTGGGCCATAATGGGGAATTCAAGTTTTACATTGAAATATATATGGAAAAATCTTTGAAAATCTTCTGCTCAAGAATCATTGGGCCAGAAAAGCTGAAACTTATGTGAATCTTGGGGTAGTGTAGATTCTAAATTATCCAAATCATTTTTCCTATGGATAGGGCTTGGTCACAATTGCTATTACAAAGGGGGGAAATCTGATAAAGAACAGCATGGCAAAATTTTCTCAGGTGAGCCATGTGGCCCATTGGCCTCTGGATTTCTTTAAAAATCTTCTGTGCTCCTGAACATTAAATAAACTAAAAAAGTACATGGTTGTGTTTGCCTTTTTTCAATTATTGTTAACTTCATAGCCCCAGGGACAGAGGATCTGGTTTAGGGCAGGTCTAAATAGATTATACAGGGAAAATGCACTATTTCTTTGAAAATCTTCTGCTCAAGAATCATTGGGCCAGAAAAGCTGAAACTTATGTGAATCTTGGGGTAGTATAGATTCTAAATTATCCAAATCATTACCCCTGTGGATAGGGCTTGGTCACAATTGCTCTTACAAAGGGGAGAAATCTGATAAAGAATAGCATGGCCAATTTTTCTCAGGTGAGCCATGTTGCCCATTGGCCTTTTGTTTTCTTTAAAAATCTTCTGTGCTCCTGAACATTAAATAAACTAACAAAGTAAGCTAGTTATGTTTGCCTTTTTCAATATTGTTAACTTCATAGCCCCAGCGTCAGAGGATCTTGTTTAGGGCAGGTCTAAATAGATTATACAGGGAAAATGCACTATTTCTTTGAAAATCTTCTTCTCTGCTCATGGGTATTTAATAAATTAACCAAGTACAGAGTCCTGATGAGGAAGGATGCTTCTTCCCAATTTATGAATTTTAGGGCCCCAGGTTCAAGATTTCTGGTGTTAAGGAGGGGCTCTAATTGATTATACAGTGAAAATGCATGAATTCTTCGAAAATGTTTTTCTTTGCTCCTGGTGGTTATGATGCCAATGTTCTAAGGCCAAAAAAAATTAATCAATAGTTTCTCAGGCACCGCCGCATCAGGTCAAAAACAGCTGCATTGATCAATTTTATTGACATATTGAAAAGGGAAATAACTCAATTTATCATTTTTTTCAAGTTGAAAAAAAATTGAATTATTCCCCTTTTCATAAATGCTAAGATAGACGTTTTTATTAGAAAACAATATATTTCTTCTAAATTTACAATTTCAAAGAACAAAAATTAAGAATTAGTATAAAATTATGTTATCATTTCATTGAACAAATAGCTTGAAAAAATTGCAAAACCTTCTTCAAAAAAAAAAGCCTGCCTGCCGCATTGAATTTTGAATTTTTTGGCCTGAGAAACTATTCATTAATTTTTTGGCCTAGGCATATATTTATGATGAAGAAAGTGCCTTTTTCAAAATGGTTAATTTCAGGGCCCCTAGGTCAGGGGTACCGGAGGTTGGGGGTGGGGGTGGAGACTTAGTATGAAAATAAATGAATGCTTTGAAAATCTGATCATTAATTCTGATCTTCCCAATGATATCAAAGCCAATAATATTCGCTTAGCGGTTAATATTTTATTTTTATATTTTTATAGCTCCTTGTGTGCCTGGGAAGTATTCTTTGACAGGATATGAACCTTGTGAGGACTGTCCTCTTCATCATTATCAAACTGCTCAAGGACAAACACATTGTACAGAATGTCCACAGGATCAGAGAACTCTGTTGATTGGCAGTAATAGCTCTGTTGACTGTGCCACTGTTGGTATGTACAAAAATTACTTCTGGCTAAACTATTGGGGCATTACCAATTATTAAATTCTGGTTTATTGCTTCCTTCTTAGCTCACCAGAGCTGAAAGCTCAACTGAGCTTTTCTGATCACATTTTGTCCGGCGTCCGTTTGTCCATCCGTCTGTCTGTAAACTTTCACATTTTCAACTTCGCAGCACAGTTCAGGTTACAGTAAGGAGGCGGGGCCTAATTTATACGGGAAATGTTTACTATGACGTCACACAAAATATAAGGTCTTCAAAATACAACAAAATGATATGATTTGCTAAAGTACTGGATAATTGTAGACTACATAAAACTTACTATTACATGCAGTTTTGTCTTTTGTTAAATTCCACACAACAATATATAAACGATGCATCGATTGCAATGCACTTGTCAATGTGACGTCATCTCGCAAAAATGACGCAGTTTGTACATAGTGAGAGGCTGATCAAGTCAAATTTTGTACAATGAAAAATGTCTTTTGTTCTCACATAAAATGTTATTTGCATTTATTTAAAAGGCCGTATACTTGGATGCAATGTCTATATTACAATTTCGTTTATGTACTGTCCGTATATTCTCCAGATAAGTGATACTGTCGTGTGTTTGTATTCAAATTCATCGAAAAAGAAATAGAACGGCCCTAATAAATCGATTTATTGCAAGGGCATACCCTCAGTATATCTTGCCAAGTTTTTACACATTAACTCAAGAAGCATTGAGATATTTGAAAAGTGCTACGAACCTCGTGAAATCTTTCAAATAAATGAATTAGAGCTAAATTTAATGAAGTTGGCCAGCAAAATATTTAACCTGCCGTCCAACAAATTTTATTAAATTAAATTTTAGCAATCAAATAAGGGAATCTATATAGGTTCGCAGCACTTTTCACAAACTACTTATAGTGTTGAAAAAAATTATTAATTAAACTAAGATTTTTAACTTGGTTATGCCCTTGCAATATTGAAATTTATAGATGACCTCTAAACTGCAAGTTTACATGCTAAAATCATGTGACTCTGACATCAAGTGACAAGTCTAAATAAAAAAATCTACTAGTCCTAAACATGTAGATTTGAACCACATTACATTCTTTTAAATCAGTGAAGGCCTAAAAAGAATCGCCCATCCTTATAAAGTATATAAATATTTTTTTTTACAAAGATTTTAAAAAACTCGAAGTTTGATGCTGAAATTTGACTTTAGATAAATGATCAGATCTAGATCTAACATCTAATTTTTGTTAGATTGATCTTTGAATTCCCCTTTGTATAAAATTATTTTAGAAATTAACAAAAATAATATTAATAAAAATAATATTATAGAAATGAAATAAGAGAAAGAGGAAAAGTTCTCAAAATCACCACTGTTCATCTAAGTTTTTATTTTTTGTCATTTTTTAAATTTAACTTCAATTTAAAGAAAAAAAATCTCCCTCCTGGGTCTGAAAACTCCCAGGCAGCAATTCCAAATTCCAAACAATTTTTTAAGGATGGCCTCAGTGTTCAAGGGTTTATTTTTATTGTCTCCCAATATCACTGTAAGAGGGGATACTAATTTGGTTCTGTCTGTTCATCCTTCTGTCCATCTGTTTTACTGTCCATCTGTAACACTTTCATTTCAGGGCAATATCTTGAGAAGCACTTTATGTGTTCTTTAACAAATACAAATTTCATTATTTCAGTCCTCTGAAACTCCTATTAGGGGTTAAAAAGTGACCCCACATCTCATAATTTTTACATTGTACTCTGCTGAACACAAAACCGAAATCAATTTCAAAATTAGTTGAGAAATAAAAACGTTACAGGGAAAAGTCTGTTTTCAGGTTTGGACCCTTGAAATCTCTAATTTTCAAGATTTTTACTTTAAAAACCCAATGAGGTCGGAACAAGGCCAGTCATTCTATACCTTCAATTTCACATGAATATCTTGGTTACTTTTAGAGAAAACTTGAAATGCGTGATTTCAAATTTAACATAGAAATTAAGTCCCATAGACATTTTTAGAGACTCATAAAACCGGAAGTACTGCTTTGATTAACATGAAACTTACAAAGTAACTTGTATTAATTAGTTTTTAATATTTAATGCGCATTTTGTCTTTTCCGTCATTCTTAATTGTACCCAAAGCAACAAGTTGCTCGAGGTATAATGTTTTTGACCCCTCAGTCTGTCAGTCCTTTTTTTTTGTCAGCGCAACTATTCATAAACCGCTGCACAGAATTTGGTCAAACTTTGCAGATATTTAGGACACAATGTGTAGATGTGCATATTACCAAGAAATTCCGATTCCTTTATTTTATCCAGGAATTTCGGCACTTTTCAACTTAGATTTTTAGCCATATCTTGAATATAGAGATGATCAGTTTGTCAGCACAGCTCCTCATAAAACTGCTGCACAGAATTTGGTCAAACTTTGCAGATATTTAGAACACAATGTGTAGATGTGCATATCACCAGGAAATCCCGATTCCTTTATTTTTTCCAGGAGTTTCCGCACTTTTCCTCTTAGAATTTTGGCCATATCTTGAATATAGAGATGAACAGTTTGTCAGCGCAACTCCTCATAAACCGCTGCACAAAATTTTGTAAAACTTTGCAATTATTTAGTACACAGTGTGTGGATGTGTATATTACCACGAAATTCTAATTTCTTAATTTTTCCAGGAATTTCGGCACTTTTTAGGTCACCTGAGTAAACTCAGTTGACCTATTGCTATCCGTTTTCGTCCATCGTCGTGTGTCGTCCGTCGTGCGCCATGCGTTAACATTTGAACATTTTCAGCTTCCTCTCTGCAACCACTCAACCAATTTCAACCAACTTTGGCAAAAAGCATTTGCGTGTGGATGGGAATAAAAATTGTGAATTTCATGGTCCCTGCCCCCCTAAGGCCTGAGGGATGGGACCAAAACCACTAAAATTAATGCAATCTTTAAAAATCTCCTGGACATCAAGTAGACAAACTGTTGGCATGATTGTAATAAACATTGAGTCCTCTACCAAAATTGTGAAATTCAAGGCCCCATGGTCAGTGGTTCTAGTGCTAGGGCGGGGCTAAATAGATTATATAGGGAAAATACATTATTTCTTTGAAAATTTTTGTCTCTGCTCCTGGGCATTAAATAACCAAGTATATAGTTATGTTGAACAAGACTGCCTCTTCCAAAATTGTTAATTTCATGACCCCTGGTTCAGGGGTTCTGGTGTTAGGGTGGGAATCTATTGATGATGTAGTGAAAATGCATTATTTCTTTGAAAATCATCTTCTCTGCTTCTGGGTATTAAACTAGTACATAGTTATAATGAGTGAGAATGCCTCTCCCAAAATTGTGAATTTTAAGGCCCCTAGGTCAGGGGTTCTTGTTTTAGGGCAGGGTTCTATTGTTTATACTGTATAGGGGGAAAATAACTCGCGGTGTTAATATTCGCTATATTCACGGTGTTAACAAATCCGTGAATTCAAGAAACAGTGAGTAAATTTTCAATAATCTATGTTTTATTTGGAAATTTGAGAATACATCACGATAGATTTATATAGGCGTACGTGTAGTCCATGGTCATTTCAGTAATTGCGAGTAGAACTGTCATTCAATTAATTTTAATTATCACGCTTTACTTTAATTCAAATCGGCAGATTATAATTAGTGTTTGTTCAAAAGCTGTTTTAATAGCCAACGCTGCATGTTTCCTCAATCAAAACACGTAGGTCATGGGTTTTGATTACCCGTGCGTAACTAATGTTACCACGTGTATTTGTTACCTGCATTCTCATGCATATTAGTTCATGTAGTTTTTATCGACATTTTTGTTTTAAAAAATCATTCAAATATCGAACTTACTGACGAACTAAGTGTGGAAGAATATTATTTCGTAGAACTACATAAAAAGTTTTATTTCCGTCCAGTGGTTTTTCGCCGCGTTGTATGGAAGATCTCGGGTGCACATGCACTCATCATAATAGCATATAGGAAAGTCATTTAACGTACTTGTGTTAATTTATTACATGTATTTATGAAATCTACCTATTTTATAAAAACTTACTCTGTTGTTCGTGAAATAAAGACATAACGCTGATTAATGTCGTTCACATGTAGCTATGGTATGGATTAAATGCAGACAAGGGAAGTAACTTTTATTACGTACCAAATTCCGCGAATTCAAGAAACCGTGATCGTGTCAGATGAGAGAAAAACGTGAAAATTACAACCCGTGAAATTAATCCCCTATACAGTATAGTGAAAATGCATAAATTCTTTAAAATCTTCTCCTCTGCTTCTGGGTATTAAACCAATGTACTTAGTACTGTAAGCTCCCTGGGAATGGCCAAGCTTAAGTCGGGGATACTACAAAATAAATACTGGTAGTACTCATGTACTAAAATCCTTGTTCCTCTGGTTATAGGGAAAAAATAAGATTCGTCTTGGTCTCAACAATATTTATTATTCATAAATCAGCACTCATTTCAAAAAGGTACAATAATAAATTTTGGTGGCGTCTACCGTACAGGCTACTATTATAAAAAGAGGGGGGGGTGTATAATGGCTAAACTAGGATGATTCCCACAGTTAATTTCAATTAAATAGGTGTCCAGTGTGTTGGGAGATAATTGTCGATCATTTTCTCACCTGAAATCACAATTGTAATACTGTATAAAGCTACGATGAAAATATGGGCGGATCTTGGAATTGTCTCTTTGAAATGTACGCGCCTGACAACTCGGCAAATTATCTGTTTACATAATGAAATCGGCCCCTATATATAACCTTCGGAAAAGGGTCACATGACTAGATTCAACCAATAAAAATGCTGTCAACGACGTTCCACCAATCACGACAATGTACAACATCGTACAAAATGAAAATCGTGTCGTACTGTCGGACAAAATTGTCGTACAACTTGGATTATAAACAAACCCTGGAACTAACATGTGAAAAGACAACATAATCAATAAATATGGATAACAAGAGATGTGTCTATAGTGAGTAAG